ATTGTTTTATGTGTATATAAAAATAGGGATTTTAAAATAAGTTTAGTCCAATAGACCAGTCTAAAAATTCAAAAAATAGATTAGGCTAAAGAAAAAATTATGGTCTAAATTAAATTTAACTTATTTTAATTTGACCTATTTAGGCCATAACCTTATGGATTTAAGTCAAATTAATCCATAGGCTTATGAGTAAGCCCAATTTATAGAATAATAATAATTTTTAAATAAAAATAAAAATAATATTATTTTATTAAAAAATATATGTAGTATAAATTAATTGGGTAAGAGATTCACTTATTATAAGAGTAAATATTATAATAAATTTTTAATAATTACTTATTTTAATATATAATGATTAAGATTAATTATTAATTTAAATGAATTAATTTCTAAAAAATAAATAATGATAATAAAGAGTAAGTTTTTAATTCTTATTTAAAGATTAAATGAATGCATTCTCTTATAATTTATATATTAAATTATTATATCTTAAACAAAAAATAATTTTATTAATGAAATTTAAACTTTTAAAATATATTTTTATTTAAACATTTATTTAATTAATTAATTTTGTATAAATATTTTAATATTTTGTTTAAATTCAATCAGATCAAAATTTATCTATTAGTCCATTGACCTAATATAAAACTATATTAAACTAAAATTTTTGACTCATTTAAAAAATATAAATAAGATTTGATCATTAAATTTTTTACTTAAATTATAGGACTAAATCAAACTTAGTTATATAGTCCATTTTGACACGAAGAAATAAAATGTGATTATTATCATGATGTGAGAAGTTAATCATGGAGGAGGAAATAGCTTGATGTGGTTATGTATGTAACGTGTGTATTGAATTAAAGAATTTTTACGAGAGACATGGTAACTCTAGAGTTTTGTACTCATATTACTTCATTTAGAGGAGTTTTAAAGAATTTATCTTCTCAAATATATCGATATGGGTCAAAGAGAGTGTTCCTTGCCTATGCCACGTGTGGTTAAGAACAATAACCAAACATAACATAAGCGTTAAAGTTTTTTTTTTTTTTTTTTTAATATCTAAAACCTTGTCACGACTATGAATGTACCTAGAACGAATTCTCTCTTCACTATAAATATATCTAAAAAAACTAATATATATATAATTAAAATATCAAAAAATGAAAATCTTTATTACAGTGAAAATCAAACTTGACTTTAAAATATACAAGTAACTTTCATGTTATAACGTAATTTTCCACCACTTAATATATCACTAACCGCATATATATCTCAGGACTAATAAAGTGAACTTCCATCGTCTCTAGAATATTTTTTATTATTTATATAATTTCAGTTATTACTACAATTTGACTATCTCTACAAATCCGTTAACTTAATACATACATCACATATAATAATATAATAACACCTCTTAATAACTATTCCTTATACAACATCAAAATTTTGTTTAATTCAGTCTGGCTTAATTTTAGTTTAATTTTTGTTAGGTTATTAGATTAAAAGGTTTAATTTTAACTTGATTAAAAATATTAATATATCTATATTAAAATAATTAATTTAAAAATATATAAATAAAAATATATTTTTAAAATTTAAATTATATTAAATAAATTATTTTTTATTTAAAATATAATAATTTAATATATAAATGATAATTTAATATCAAAATATAAATTAAAATTTTACTTTTTATTATCATTATTATTTTTTTTAGTAATTTATTAATAAAAATAATAATGATAATTAAAAATTTCTTTTAATATTTATTTTTATAATAAGTGAATATTTTATCAAATTAATTTATATATATATATATATATTAATAAAATAATATTATTTTTATTTTTATTTTAAAAAATAGTTATTATTCTATAAAATGAACCTATCTATAATTCTATAGGACTAATTTAAGCTAGACCGAACAAAAATAAGTCTGATTCAGTTTAAATTATAAATTTTTAATTTAACCTAATTTATTTCTTATAAATTAAGTTTAATTTGACTTTTCTAACTATTTCTATCATAATTCAAATCTAAATATACCTATGTATTAACAAAATAATATATATATATATATATATATATATTATATTATATTATATTATAGTTAAAACATTCTAATATTTTTTCATTTTTATATTTTTTAAATTTAATTAAATCAAACTCTATTGTCTACATTCCTAAATACCAAATCTTACATTTTTTTTAATGTTAAATGTTGTTTTAACAAAATATTATTTCGAAATAATTGTTGTTTTGAAACATTTATAATAGATTAAATATTTTTAAAGACGGAAAATAGTGTACAATAGAAGTAAAAAAGTAATTAATTAACTATTTAGAGATAGGAAGTTACAAAATATCTTTTGTGGAATTTAAAATTTTAATTGCAATTCTTAATATCTGTGTCAAAACTATAAATGTAGTAATAAAATGGATGAGAAAGAACACTAGGAAGAGAATTCATAAATAAATTTAGTGCAGAAAATAAATAAAAACTCTATTTTTGAAAATTTCTACCCTCCTTGCAAGAAATACTAAACTAAATCTTACCGAGAAAATACAATAAATGTGGTGATTTCTAAATTAACACCACTTGCACTTTCCTTATTCACAAATTGAGTTTAAAAGCACATGTAGATAAAATTAGTGATATATGTGAATATGATTAACTCAATTAGTTGTTAATTTAGGGGTTAGTAATAATTACATAAATGATGTTTAAATTGTGAAAAATTCCCAAAAAAGTAATATGTTATTCCACTATAAATGGTTGACCGTAATTTTAAATATAGGAAGGGATTTTTCCTTATCTTTTATAAACAAAATAGGTCATAAATTAATGTGTCTTCAACAAGTTTTTTTCTTTAAATTTATTTTAATCTTCGCTTTTTCTCCATTAAGTACAATTTGTCAAAATTGTGATGGTCACAATCACGTGTGGGTCCCAAACCCCACATGTAAGAGTACCACACAGTACACAATTTCTCCTCTTAAATATTAACTTTATAAACAAAAATTTGTGTTTCACATTCATTTTTTTATATAATAAAATTTTAAATAATTATATTACAACTATGCAACATCAATTAAAATTTCATACTCTTCTGTATTTTTTTTAAGTTTATGTTGGAGAAAATATTTTTTATTTAATTTTTCTTTATGTATTTTTACGCATATATTTATTGTGTTAAACGAAGGTAAACAAATATCAAATTAGGATATATATTGAATAACAATCTCATTAAAGTAAAGAAAATTTATTATACTTCTTGATTTCTAAAAAAAACAAAAGAAATCAATATTTTAATTTAACAAAAACTTAATCGATAGTTTTTTAATGAAATTTTACATCAAAATCACATTTTACACGTTTTTTTTATTTAGTTTTACAAATATCTCACAACTTATAACCAGACTTTGAAATAGTTTTGTTTATAATAAAGATAAAATATGAGATTTTTTTCACTAAATTATCAGTTCATCGGATTTTTTTATCTATAATTAAGTTAGAAATAAAAAAAGTGTTTTAACTCAATTTTAGAAAATTAAATTTTAAGGAGATTCTACATTATAATTTAATTATATTTTTAATTGACGGATTTAACTATATAGATATAAAATATTAAAAAGAAAAAGAAACAAAAAAACGAGTGAAAATGTTGAAGTCATTTACAACCAGGGGTAGTTTGGGCATTACAGAAATGAAAACTGTGAAGGAAACAAAAAAAAAAGAAAAGGAAAGAAAAGAAAAGAATGGAAGTCTTAAATACAAGGGGGACAGGCTCACATCACCGTGACCTGTTAATCTAAATAAAAACACATCATAGATTAACTTCAATGATTAAAGGTCAATGCAAGAGCCATGTTCATGTCCTGTTTCGTCATTTCAACTCATGTTGCCAACTGCCACTGAAATCCAAACCCCCGTAAATTATCATCAAAGAAAAAGCATGTAAAATAAAAATAAAGATAATCTTCATCTTCACCCCAGAAAAATAAAAATTATAAAAATTAATTTTTTTTGAAAGTAAAAAAGAAAAAGAAAAAGCTGACTTACGTGAATCGGCCTTTAACTAAATTTAGCTGCACAGACAAAACCCAAGTTATTATTTGCATCGTCTCTATGTGCAGCTGTTCAAAACTCTCTGCATCAGTTATTAATCAATGTTTATTTTCTCCATGTATAAACAAACAATAAATAATGAATACCTATATATATATCTTTCTGTGCCACTTTTTTTATTACAGTGAGAGAAAACCAGGTGCATGAATTTAGTATTTTACTTTCCCCCAGATGACACCTTTAACAAAAACAAAACTTAAAAAACAATCAAACACTACAAGATGCAGGATTCCACCTTCAATTAAAGTAAAGTCAAGTGTATTAATTTTAACATTAGTGACAATTAGTGTAAGAGTTGAATGAATTTTTTAAATGGTTATGTTAAATACAGCTTTATGGTAATTATTATTAAAGTTAACAACTTTAACGTATTTGTGATTAATTGATATTTATATTTTATTTATTAAATTATTAAAAAAGTCAATAGAATTAACCATATACGACAATATTTGATAATTGAAGTTTTTCGATATTTGTGAAAATAATGTAAAAGTAGATAAAGAAAACATGTATTTTGTTTATTACTGACATGTACATACAAAGAAATTAAATGGAGGAAAAAAAATAATAAAATGGTTGAGATTAGTATTACCAAGCAGATCCCACCCAAATAAATTAATAAATTCACCGAACATACACGTTCATACACACATCTATGATAAAACCCATCAAAGAATTCACCACCCCTTTTCTCCTCTCCTTTCTCTTTTTTCCCCCACATATTATTTTTTTCTCCTCTGTAATTGCCAAGGTTCTGTGCTGGTTTTGAAGAGAGAGAGAGAGAGAGAGAGAGAGAGAGAGAGAGGTAGATAGAGACCACAGAGAAAAAGGAGAGAGAGAGAGAGGGAGGAGAAAGAGAAAGAGTCCTATGCTGGGGGACTCAGCAGTGTTGGGAACAGGAGGAGGAGGGTCTGGAGATGCAGTGGTGGGAGGAGGTGGTGGGGCTGCATCAGGAGGAGCTCATGACGGTGCTGCTGACGTGGCAGGCGGTGGTAGCGGCGGGGGAGGATCAAATTCAGGGGATGATGAGAGGGGGAGAGTGGAGGAAGGTGACAGGAGCTTTGGTGGGAACAGGTGGCCGAGGCAAGAGACTCTGGCTTTGTTGAAGATACGGTCGGATATGGACGTGGCTTTTAGAGATGCAAGTGTGAAGGGTCCCTTGTGGGAAGAGGTTTCTAGGTGAGTCATTGAATTTGGTCTTAATTGTTTGGTTTTCAGGTTTTCTTAGTTCATCACCTTAATTGGGTGGAACCAGTTTGAAGTTTGCTGCTTTGGAGATCTGAAAAACTCTCAATTCTTGCTCAAGATTTTCTCTTTCATCTCTTGGGAATGTGTTTCACTTCAATTCTATGCTTATTGTTTTCTTTGAGTCTTTTGCTGTTTCTTTCATTTGGATTTGTTCAATTTACTTTTATTTATTTATTTTGTGTGTGTTTGTTTCATTCTCAATTTCTGCCATCTAGAGATGGAGTGTTTATGAAAATATGTGATTTAGAGTTGGATATGTGATGTGGTTTTTCTGACATTCATTTTGATACATGTTGCGTTTACCAAATAAGTTGCCAACTTGAATTGGGTCTTCAAAAGCAACACTTTCTTCCACCTTGTTTCAGTTACCCAATCTTCTCACTTGGGTTCATGTGTTTTCCATGGGAAGAGTTTCCATTTCACCAATTCATGGCATTTGATATTATATTTAATATTATTATTATTATTATTTAATTAAAAGCTTTTACTCCAGTTACATCATCAATTTTGATATTATTATATAAGTTCCTTTAATTTCCTTCCCTTGTTTTAAGGTCTTCAGTTACTTCCTTTCCCCTCCATTTCCGTTCATGGGTACTTGAAATCCTGAGATGTTTAATACTTTAACTTGCTTTTTTCTATTATCTTATGCTTCTTTCTTCCATTGCAACCTATATATGTCATGAATTTGATGAGATAAGATAACGCCACGAAGCTTGTTTTTTTACTTTGTCTTCTTTTGGGGTTATTATTATTATTATCAGGAAGCTGGCAGAGCTTGGCTACCACAGAAATGCCAAGAAGTGCAAAGAGAAGTTCGAGAACGTTTACAAGTACCATAAGAGAACCAAAGAAGGGCGAAGTGGGAAATCCGAAGGCAAGACTTATCGTTTCTTTGATCAATTACAAGCCCTTGACAAAAACCCTGCAATCCATGGCATCCAATCCCCAACACCACCTTCAAAGCCACCACCAGTAACAACTACAGCACTACCAGCAACACCAGTGTCAATAGTGGTAACAACAACACCCTCTTCCATAATGTCTCTTCCCCCAACCACAACAGTGCCATTGCTGCCAGTGTCTAATAACACCACTGTTCCATCAACAACTACACTCCCTATGCCTCAAGGCATTCTCGCCATCACAACCTCTTCCTACCCACCATCAAACCCTACAACATACTTCCCAGCACAAACTCCAAACCCTACAAGCAACAACAGCAAAAACCCTCAGAACACCATCACCCCACCTTCCTTCCCCAACATTCCAACCGATCTTTTGTCGAATTCCAGCTCTTCATCGACTTCCTCCGAGGAAACAACAACGGAGGGAGGGGGAGCAAGGCGCAAGAGGAAGAGGAAGTGGAAGGACTTCTTTGAGAGACTCATGAAGGAGGTGATAGAGAAGCAGGAGGAGCTGCAAAGGAGGTTCTTGGAGGCCATAGAGAAGAGAGAACAAGAGCGTGTGGTGAGAGAAGAAGCGTGGAGAATGCAAGAGATGCAAAGGATCAACAGGGAAAGGGAGATTCTAGCACAAGAGAGGTCCATTGCTGCGGCAAAAGATGCTGCTGTTATGGCATTTTTGCAAAAGATGGCCGAACATCAACAACAAGAAAATAATCTTCAGCCAGCATTGAATACCAACAACAACAACAGCATCACTATTGCTCCACAGCAACCGGTGCCACAAGCAACCACAACACCAACGCCAACACCGCAACAAAGACAAACAACAACTGTTCCTGAGGTCCCACCAGTGCAGTCCTTGGCCCCACAACCGCAACCACAGCAGCATCATCAGGTGCAACAACAACAACAACTAGTGATGACTAATGTGGAAATCAATAAAGCTGATAATAACAGTGAGAGTTTGATGCTGGGAGCGAGTTCCTCACGGTGGCCAAAAGTGGAAGTACAAGCACTGATAGATCTGAGAACAAACCTCGAAACAAAGTACCAGGAAAATGGACCAAAAGGGCCACTATGGGAGGAGATCTCAGCCTTGATGAGGAAAATGGGATACAACCGGAATGCCAAAAGGTGCAAAGAGAAGTGGGAGAACATCAACAAGTACTTCAAGAAGGTCAAGGAAAGCAACAAGAAGAGGCCCGAAGATTCCAAGACATGTCCCTATTTTCACCAATTGGAGGCTCTATACAAGGAGAAGAACAAGGTGGAGGGCCAAATGAAGCCGGAGAGCACGATGGCGCCGCTCATGGTGCAGCCGGAGCAACAGTGGCCTCCTCAGCAAGTGATGCCGCCAGAAGTAACCATGGAAGACGCCCAGAATGACCCCATGGACCGGCAGCGCCACGAGGACGCGGAGGAGGACGACGAGGACAAGGAAATTGGAGATGAAGACGATGATGAAGACGATGAAGGTGGTAATTATGAGATAGTAGCAAGCAAGCCAGCTTCAGCTTCAGCCGGTGATGCTTCTGCTGAGTGAGAGGAACAAATATTGACCGAAAAGTGCATCATCAATCAGAGTTATGGTGGGTCAAAGAAGGTGCACGGGTTGTCGGAAAAATGGTGGTGTGGGGGTGAATTCTGGTAGTAGTGGTGGTGGATGGTGATGAGGTTGTGATGTAGATTTTGAAAATGCTCGTACTTCAGAATGACACATGGGTATAGGGGTATAGCCAGTAGGGTGGGGGAATCTGGGTTGAAAGTACTTGGTACAATAGCAGCATATAGTCAGTAAGATTATATGTTTTTTTGTTTCGAAAAAGAAATAATTAATTATTTTTTGAGCTAAATAAATAAGTTGATGAATGAGGGAGAGGAGAGGTTAAGATAGAGAAAGGTTCAGACTTGAGAGGTTCAAGTTCAACATATATGAATGAATAAACAATCAACCTTGATTAATGTTATTGTACTAGGTTTTTTGTACTAAATTTTCATGTTCATGTTCATGTTGATGTATATGGGAGAAACGATTAATTGTTGGGGTTTTGTCTTTTTTCTCTAATTTCCTTCCTTGAATTTTTCCTTTTCAATTTTGTTATACTCTTCAAATGTTGTCAATGATTTCGTTCCTTTCCTCTTTCAGTGTGTGTTATCTTGTGTTGATGAATTACTTATATTTTTTCCTCCGCCTATCTGCAAACTCAATAGCAAATCGTCACAACGTACAAGGAGAAGGAGAGAGAAGAGAATGTTGGTTGAGTGTAGCTTTTGGGTGAAGATATGAGATCAGAAAAGAATGGAAAAAATAAGTAGAATTTTGGACGCAGAGAAAATAAAAAAGGGAAGCAAAAGAGAATGGTAGTGGAACAATTAATGGAGGAAAAAAGAATAAGAAAAGGGGCTTAAATTGTAGGGACAGTGACCCAACCATTTGTGTTGTTACAGGGCCCTTCCCGTAGCAGAAAATGCCAGCATCACACATGGAGTCATAAACCCTTGAAGGAGGGTCCACCAGGAGGAATCTTTTGAGGTGTGAGCAACCTCACAGTGTGAAGAGCCTACAACACTGTACACGGTAACTGTATTGTTTGCAGCGAACACAAAGATATGTGCTTCTCTTCATGAGTGTCAGTACTAAAAAAGCAATGAAGGTTCATCTTCAACATGTTCTATTGGGTAAACTTTTCTGCTGTCAATTTTGTGAATTTTCTTAATTTTTCATCAGGGTCTGATGCTAATCACGTTTCTCTAAAACAAAAATGCACATGCGAAACGAATAATGGACCCAAAAAAAAGTAAGAGTTGATGATGGTAATTTTGCCCACAATTTTCATCCGCAGAAAAACAAAGGTCCAGAAAAAAGGTATAATGGGGTGCAGAGATTATATATATTATGCTCTTGGTATATTATTTGTACATTGCTTTTGGTATTATTTTATATATGTACATCTGAGAGATGCTATATATATATATATATATATATATATATATATATATATATATATATATATATATACATGGGAAGATTTCTTAATTCAAATAGTACAGATCGGTATTTTTCTTATAGTTTGGTGGGTATCCAATTCTGCTCTTTATTTTTGTTGGTTTGTTTTTCTCAGGTTTAATGTTATTTTATTTTCAGTTTTACAGTGACCAATGCTAACTATAACCTTACATTTACATGTGTCAATTAATTATAGACAAACTCGTGTTGTAAGTTTCTATAGTTTTTTTTCATCCTGCACAATGATTGGTGGGTATCCGGTTCTCTATTAAATTCTTCAACTATAGTTTCTTCTTCCTGCTGTTTATATATAGCTTTTTCATATATATATATATATATATACACATATGCTTTCTATCTATCCACATAACTTTTTTTCATTATTATTAAATTTCTAGTATAATAATGTAAATTAAAATCCTCAGTAGTCTATTGTTCTTAAAGTTTAATGTGTCTGTAATCTCATTCTTGAAATTTTAAGAATACACAATTCTTGCTGCCATCCAAATCTGCCTTTCTATGTGGTTTTATTAATTTTGTTGATATTTTTGTGCTGTTCTATGATAGTAAAATGTCTTCAATGCTTTGTTATTTTTACTGAAATGTGTAATATTATTTTATATGTTTTATTAGTTGATATTTATATATATTAATCTTTTTTTTTCTGCAGAATAAACAACAAATTAGAATAATTTTGTTAAATTAGGTTGAAAGCATTATGTTATAATTTGGATTGCCCATATTTGACTTGCAGTAATACAGTTTAAAATAAAATATGTATAAATGAAAATTGTTATCTTGACTAAAACATCTCAAAAAACATACATATATATATATATATATATATATATATATATATATATATATATATATATATATATATATATATATACATGAATTTAACTTCTGAGAAAAATATTAAAACAACTTTTTAGTTTTATTTAAAAAAAAAAAACACGTACAATTATAATATGTTTTGAAACACATCTTTTAAACAAATTCAAACAACAGAACCCTCAATCCTTATTACATTATAAATACTGTGGGAAAAAACAAAGTTAAGGCAATAAACAACATTACTTGAAGGAAGAAAAATTAAAATGATCTCAAAACAACAAAGTAAAACCGAACTAGATTAGCATTAGCAAAGTTGATAGATAATTAAATTTCTTAAACCTAGTATCATGAGGGGTTAATGATTTTTTTATGAGAGACAAAATTTACTTTCAGTAATTCTATATGCAAGATGAGGTAAAAGAAGTAAAATTCACTTTGGGTTATTTAAAGTCTCAAAAGAAATTAAATTTGGACGAAATATATGTGAGAAAAGAAAGAAAATCCGTCACATATTTGTATTTTGGTTTTTACTGATGATGATTACTTAAAGCATAACGAGATCTGTAATGAGTTTAAAGCATGACAGTAATGTAAGAAGTGCGTGAGTTGATGACAGAATGTTACCTCAGAGGAAAAAAATGCAGAATAAGAGGCAGGTTTGTAGCAAAAGCATGTGAAAGTGAGAGAGACAAGATAAAAAAGAATAGACGGAAGAAGAATGAGAGAAGAGATTCAAAAGGGGAAGGTTTAGATGGCGGTGTTATATTCCAAATAATGCATTTTGCAGATGCGAATGGTGGCACACATGATGGTGCATCATCTCTATCTACTTTGACTTGTGGGTGCCCTACAATTTTGTCTATTGTGATGAAAATGGTGCCTATTTGCGCGTTAAGGGAGTGCCCCACAATATTGATTGCCATGCATTTACCACCTACGGATAGGAATAAATATTCTGTTACACAGCAACAGTTTGAGACATAAACGTTGCAGTACCCTCGTTCATAGAGACACATGCACGCAGAAAGTCTATGGATCCTATTCCTATCTTGGAGCCAAAAGACTTAATAATTAATTGCTCATGCATAGATGCTGCTCAGAAAACCAAGTCCTCTTCATTGTGTTCTTCTGTTGTCTTGTGTTTTAACCTTATCAATTGTCATAATCACTGCCCAAATCCCTTGCAACTTGCTACCAGAGCTTCATCATCCACCAGGCACACAATTCTATCTCCCATCACTCAGACATGCCCTTCAACTGGTCCCTCAAACTAGGTCATTAACCACCTCCAATTAATGTCCAAAACCTATAATTAATACTTGCTAAATTATAGTCAAACATTCGAGTTACTCATCATTATCTTACCCTCATTAGGGTACAATCATTATAATTATAATAAAACTTGTTCCTGTTTCAACTCCATCCATGCCTACAATTTACATTTGATTGGGATCACTAATTAACAGTTTTGTTCATTTTTTTTTATTTGCCATTTCAAAGTTAAAAACAATTTTTATGTTTATATTTATAATTTCAAGATAAAAGGCATAATAGAAAATTAACAAAATTAAGAATATTTATTATTACACTCTTAACCCACTAGTGTTTTTTTCTAAATATTTTGAAAGCAAGTAAATCAACATTAATAATGTTTAGTGAAGAAAATAATATCTTATATCAATTATTACACATTTTCTACGTGAACATTTCATTTAGATTTTAAACTTTACTAAATTGAATGTTAGAATCTCGTAATAATACGAATGCGAAGACCACAACCGCGAATTTTATTTCTGTGAGACATTTGATTAATTAATACACCATTAATGACAATTTAATTTTGTTTTCTTTTCTTTTGTAATTTTGCTCCGAACAAAATTTAAAAACATAAATAAATAACTCTAATTATTGATTGGACCAAGTGTGGTACGCATTTTTAGGTTTCTTTTATTTGAAATTTGGGGAGAGTGCATATTATTCAAAGTTTAACGTAGGATACTCCTTTGGACAAAAAGAATACTCAGTAGAACTAACAAGAGTTAAAATTTTGACCTGAAATGCGAAATGATTAAATAAAACATTAATTATTTAAAATAATTTTTAATTAAAATATTTGTATATAACATGATAAATTGTTTAATTTTTTATAATTATTTTATTAAATAATTTATAAAAATAAGTAAACTAAAATAAATGAGGAAAGATCAGAGAATGAATTTTTAAACATTTATTAAAAAATTCCTCTAAGGGTTGTTCAAGAATTATGTGACACCTTTACATTATAACTTAGGAAAAAAAATTAAATGGTTCAATTTAATTAGCCTATATAATATTCATCACTTTGAAAACTTCTAGATTTTCAATTAATAAATAATTCAGTTAATAAAATGAGTTATTTACATACATGAGGGTTTTGAATTTTTTTTCTTGAAAGAAAGAAGAAGAATATGTTACAATTTAATATTTTGAATAGTATGATACTTATATTTGTAGAAGCAATTTATTACTCTGCAGGTCCCTGGACATTTGTCACAGACACACAGTAGACAACAAAAGTTGAGTCACTGAATAACTATAATACAATATATATATATATATATATATATATATATATATATATATATATATATATATATATATATATTGAACGATTAAAATTAAGTGTTCTGAATAAATATTGAAGAAATTCTTTTTATTTA